GTTAGGTGATCCCCGGGGAATGATTCCAAAGCGTAGGCGTATTTCTGCCTTTGATTGGTTATGCGGCGGATCTCAAATTGAGATTCCAGTGCCGCGAACCAGACTTCTGGATCATGGGGGATGAAAGGAACCGGTCGGAAACTGATAACCTGTATCTCGGAGTCTATCATATTTATGTTATTCTTATCGTTATCTACCATATTAAGTTGCCAAAATATTATATATTGAAAAAAAATCAATACGAATATATGCAACAGATGTGGATAGATAAATAGACTCACCAGATTGATCTGGTTTGGAGAATTGGCCAAGTTTGACTTGTGCTCGATGGATTGGGTTACCAGCTGTATTGCGTGTTCCAATAACGGCTCACCAGTTGTAGTGGATGTCGAGTCGTGGACGGACTATGATCACCACTACTATTCGATTACGCGTACTAATATGACTTGGTTCCCTTGATAGCCCGTAAACCAGAAGGCTTTACTAGTCCAGATAAAGTATATTTATTGGCGATCTCGTGGTATCGAAATAATACCGAGACGTGCCAAAGAGTACAAGCGAACAAGCAGTGCGTGAGCAAGCTCGAACCAAACCAGGCGGTATATGGAACAAGAAGTGAGTCTGATACAGTTAAACAAATACAGTAAAACAATCTCTGGTACAATTGGTTACAATAATAATAATTGTTTCTGTTATTCCAATCGTGTTCTTATCGAGACTGGCCGGTCACTACAGATCTGTCTGTCTTCCTCTAAAAAGACTAATGATTTCTTGGTGAGTAAGAATAAATTCCAAATGCTCATCCTGGAAACCAGTACTCAATGGACTACCTCAAGGCTCTGTCATAAATCCTTTGCTCTTTATACTGTGTGTAAATGACCTCCTAATCATAGTTGAGTCCCCAATATTACTATACGCTGATTATGTAAAAATCTGGCGATAAATGATAGGAGACACAGATGCATGCGCATTTCAGACAGACTTAAATATTGTTATTAGCTGGTCTAAATAGTGCTTGATGCCTATCGATGTCATCACAGTGTTAAGCTGCAACGCATCTTCAGTGATGTTGGTATCTGATTAATTGATACTGGTGGCATTGTGATTCCTCTTATTCGCATTGCTGAGAGTCCTTGAGTGATTATCCGTTTTTGGCTGTTTTCTTACAAATAGTTTACATAACGACGGTTATGTAATAGCTGTGAATGAATTTATCATCAGTATAGGGTTGTGGAGATTGTTGAGTTTCACATGACAATCATGGACGCACTAGCGACTACCTTCAAGGTGAGTTTTCTGGAGTTCTAATGAGATGCCGTGACCAGTGCAGTTCAACCGTGTATGTTGTAAATACAGTTACTCATCAAACACAAAGGAGGACGGTCGCGCAATATCGTGGGTTGGTTGAAGTTAGATGTTAACACAGTCATATGCCGGCCCAGTGGTCTACAATTTAAGTGTTCACCTACGCGATCGTAGGTCCTGGGTTCGAGTCCTGCTTGCGGTGTTGCGGATGCGCACTGCTGAGAAGTCCCATATTGGGACGAAACGGCCGTCCAGTGTTTCCAGGTTTTCAATATTGGTCTAGCATTCATTCATTCGTGATATCAATTAAAAATAAAATTATTATCCAAAAGTGACAAAAACAGTGAACAACTGTGAATGACTGGTATGATAGTAATAATTGGCTTGAACAATACAACTTAAGACAGTTATAAATGAATGAACTCAAATGGACGCATGGGAATTGAAATTTGCAACATGTGCGCATTCAAACTAAGGGGAATCATCTATCAGTACAAATACCGTAGGTAGTCTAAAAATATACTAAACGTGGGGTCTTATCATGAAGAACGGTAAGCACCAAACAGAAACCTGAATCAAGCTCCAGTTAACCGATAATTCGGATAAAATCCCAGCAAGAAAAATAATTCGCAACCATCGGGGTTCAACTACGCATTATGGATCAGAAAAGAACTTTATTTGCACCTGAATACAGCAAAATCTGAGTAATGCAAATCACTATAAAAAAGCTCCTTATTCATAACACGAGCATATACTGGTTCATACTCAGAAGACACTGAAGATACGACCGGTATTGTAGTTTTGCAACTAGCAACCAGTAACACCTTCTATATTCGAATCTCCCTCCAATCGGTTAAAATCAGAAGTCAGATGCGAAAACATTGGAAAGATATATTTGATTCCTTATCAATATTTCGAGAATCGTTTACTCTAATCTTGCTATTGAACTTAGGAGCTGTTTCCCACGCCGGGTCGTAACGTGATCTGGTGCGGATGCATGACCGAAAGCCTTCAGTTAAACAAGTCCAATTAAAACAATGTGGTCTGCATCAGATGTCGAACACTTAAAGAGCTATTGATTTTGGGGAACTATTTACAGCTACAGCACTGTTACTTATTATAGTATCGTGTCAAAAAGAACAAACATCTAACAATTTTTCGCCTAATATGCTTTGGCATTTTAAATGAGCTGGGTATCGATATAAGGTTAAGAAGGGAGTTGTAATTTTCAAATTTAAAGGTCTTCTCCGCGCTTGGAGTTTCTAAGACGACGGTAAGCTTGTCACACCGCTGCTACTCAGCGTCTGTCTGTTTCTAGTTTTTAATGTCTGTATTGGTCGTATAAAACTCATCTTATTATTCACGGTGACCACTTCGTCTTCAGTAAAATCCTGGTTAAAACTACGATCTCATTCTAAATAAGATGCACAAGTTGTTTGAAGACGGTTCGTATAATCATAGCAAATTTAATCACGTAAGCTCCCTCCAAAGATAAGTCTTCTGAAGTTAACAGCATAAGTGTGGTCCAATAAAATATTCACTTGATAAACCGTTACTTATAAAATACCCTGATCACTTTGCTGTATTTCGGCTAACGGTTAGTTACTTTACACTCATGATACTAACCACTGTATCGATTTAAAAAGTTTCTTGAGTACTTAGTCAGTTCTAGAGCGTTTGTTGATAAGCCTTCTACTGCCTATCGATGTTTTCCATTAATTACATGTTTTTCATAAGTCTAATAATCTATGTTGATATTGTCACTCCTCACAGACTGTTTTAATACACCATAATTATGCAACTCCAATTGCATTTGTACGACTCGATAATCACAAGTACACTGACAATGACTCGGATTTATTTGGTACAACTGCGGATTTACTGGAATAGGTAAAACTACAATATATTATGCCCGAGAATATTTAACATGCATGATTTACGTTTGTTATTAAAGTAGCCTAGCATGATTCATTAGAGCTGCTGTTGGCTTAGATGAAACATTTTAGCCGGAAATAACCAACTTAGATTACTATGGAACGTTTTCCACTGAGAATTCACATGGAATTTTCGATGTGTTGCAGCCTCTACTCACATTAAGATTAAAGTCTCTTTGCAGTGTTATACACTTATTTGTGTTTCAAATTTTCATATATTTCTATCTAGTAAAAACTACTTTTAGTCTACTGACGCAATAAGTTTATCAATAATAGTATCAGTAACTGCCAGATTTTGTGTAGCAAACGGCGTTAGTAGCTTGTACAAGAATGCTTCCCGTAAAGATTAGTTAGACTGATTGTATAGTTTGAGTAATGACTTGTTGAAACAGTAACCATAAAATACAAGAAAAGTAAAACTAAATTAGCGTTATTAGGTAGGAGCAAAGCAAGAGCAATTGTAGTTTGAACTAAAATGTTAGGTGTTATAAAATCACCAAGTGGTTTTTATTGAAAGTAAGTTTCGTCTAATATTCACGGGCGAATTCGCCGATTAACGTAAAGTAAGTTGCCTTCTTACTAACTAACACCTGTTTTATTCTATTTTATGTGTACAATAAACTTAAAAGTCTTGTTTACAGGTTACTTCCATACCAACGGAAATGCTGTGACGTATGCTTTCTAATTAAATTTATCCCTCACATTTAACATGGGTTTCTGGTCTTATCCCCTTTTGAAGTTAGCTGTTAGTGACGATCAAAGTGACCTCGTTGAAATAGCCTAGTATTGGTGTAAATGTTTAGCCCATATAAGTACTTTTGACGTATATTATCGTGAAATAACTTTCACAGGGTTCTATCATACGCGTTAGCTAGGTCTCAGCCGATTGGCATTCATTTAACGTTATTGGAGTTTGTGCTATGAATGTACAAGTTGGTATTTCAATGTTAACTAACGTCTGTTTGCATTCATATTTTGCTAAATTGTTAAAAATTACGGAGTAGTTCATCAATATGACCAGTTATATTGATGTAAACACAAATTATATCGGAGAGTGGGAGTTTTCAAGCGGTAGTATATTTTTCTTGCTCACCAGTTTTCAAATCACATGAAAAAAAATAAACAGCAACCATTCAAAATATCTCAAAGTTTTAATTCAAATGATCGGGTCATGTCATGTCAAAAATAACCATAGTTACTTTCAGTATACCTTTATCTAAGAAACAAGTCCGCTTATGACCATCTTTAATTTTCCTATCGTATGGTTTTACCTTATTGCTTGTTATTTCTGGGGAAAAATGACGTTATTGTGACTAAATTGTCTTTGTTAAATTCATTATCTATTTGCTTGAAATAATATTCTTACCACATACAAAGTTTCACTCGGCATTATCTATAACCGTATGTCACGGTCAAGTTCCTCTATTTATACCCCTAAACGCATATTTTAGTCTTTATTCCGACATTTTCGTTTTCAGTATTAAATGTATACACAAATTACCGCTTCATAAATGAATTGCTAACCATAATGCATCCGAACAATCTTCGAATTACTCTTTTTTATTTGATTTCGTGAGACTTTTTGTTTTGAGAACGACTCCATCACCAGTATTGTTTTCTATGGCGAAAATGCCTTATTCGGATTTTATCTTTCAACGCCATTATTAAACTATTGTAAAGTAATTATTGATCTTTTTAATGACGATCTACTTCTCTCTGTAGGTATTGTACTATTAAGGGGTCGGTTACAGGTGTGCACAAATGACTTGTTTATCAATTTATTTGGTCAAGATACTTTCCATTTTTCTCGGGCTTTGGTCAAGGCTTCCTCCTAATGAAGCATATTCGCCAGAAAAGTTGTCCCCCACCTCTCATAATAATTCTGTAAACGATAATCTCAAACATCTCCATATTTTATTTCGACATGGTGACAGATCTCCAATCGTTAATATACCTGCTATTTTACACAAAATTCCTTCTGCTTGGTCGCAAGGATTCGGCATGCTTACAGACAAAGGTGTTGAGCAACACTTTTTTCTTGGGAAGTGGTTACGATCAAAGTATCAAGGATTTGTCCCCAGTAAATATAACGGTTCTTACTATCATGTTCGTAGTACGGATGTCGATAGAACTCTAATGTCAGCAATGGCGAATGCAGCCGGGTTTTACAACCAATCTCCCTCTCCTTTGTCCGCTTATGGTATCAATTGGTTTCCTATACCTGTTCACACGAAACCTCAAGTAAGTATCACTTCATGTTAACTTGAAGATTAATTTTGAGACCTTAGTTTTTGTATCTGTATGCATATCAACTGAATTCTGTGATAACGCTCATTCTGTGTTAACTTTTAGAAATCGAAAACTCATTTTCAAATGAGATTCGGAAAACGTAAATCTAAAGTTATTCCCATGATTCTAAGATCACGATCGCGTTTACCTATTGACTTAAATTTATCTACCCACTTTTTTTAACTTCTCAGCGGTAGCGAAGAAAAAATACCAAACTATAATTGTAAAAACAGAAAATGCAGAATGTCCCTGTATTACGAGGAAGATAAATAATATGTTCCTCCATCATTGTTATTTATCTCTATCTTGTTAATGTCCAACAGTCTCGAAATCGATTGTTAACTAATCTGAAATACATGTAAGGAAATCTGGCAAACATAATTAATATACCGTTGGAGCTTTAAATATATAAGTTTAGAAGGCAGGTCGTTTAATTGCTCTTAAGTTGATTTCTGTTGAATAATTAGAGTTCATTGAACTTCAGATTAGTAAGAAGAACAAATCGAATGAAATTTCTTTTAAATTAGTTTTCCATCATGGCTCGACACTAATATATATATATATATATATATATATATATATATATATCATGTGGAGAAAGAGGATTATAATAATCCAAGTAATTATTCGAAAAATCAAACAGTTGCTACGTTGCATAGTGTTTAAAAAGAACTTACAAAGAGTTTTTATGAAAAGTTACTATTATAGTGTAGTGGACGAAAACACAAGCAGAGAAAACCATATGTGTTTAAATACAACATTACATAGTATCTTGGTAAAATCTGAAAACCATACAGTGATACTTCATTTGCAAAATATCCATCATTCGTCTCAGACTTTGTCATCCTTTCTTCCTCATACTAACCACTCCATCTCTTCGATTTTCTCAACCTTCTGCAGCAAAGCGTTCCACTTTCGACTGGTGATACATACTACTTATATCTATCGACATCAGTAGCACACACTATAATAGTAGCTATGTACGTTGAAGACATGTAAAATACAAAAGTGGAGTAAATTGGAAAATAGTTCAAATACTTTTAAAGGAAAAGGTTTCATCAACTCTCAGCTAAAAAACTATACCGACGGCCGGGTAACGAGAGTGGTTGTATAAACTTATTTTGAATGCAAAGGCTTGGTGTGTGAACATGGATTCCAATATGCAAAATACGAATTCGCAAACCATTTGGTAAATTTGATGGACTATGATGAATAATCTTAAAAGTTTTACTGGAGTCTACTTGATGACATGTACCCACCAAGCGAAGGAGAATAGAACTCTCAATCACTATTACTTGTCCTTTGTTCAACCAAGATGAATAGTGTTCTATGCGATGATGGACTTGTCAAATTGTACGCCCTATATAACTTGTTCCACAAGAGTATTTGGATTGGTAACTACATATGGATGTGGCGAATTCAGGCAGTATATCTTCATTAATGGTTCTTATTATGGCAGTGGAGGAGTAGAAAACGACATTCCGTCTGAGTGCAGTAAATGTTTTCTGTGCCGCCTTTCTTAATCTTTGAGTCGCAACTTGTTGCGTATCATCAATTTGGGATTGTAATTTTAAGAACAGTACTTCTCAACGGTAGTTACATTTGGTCTTTTCATCTCATTGATTTGTTTGTTTAGGGATTTCTTTGGGTATCCACTCCTACTAAGCACGTTACGAATATTACTCAATTCATCTACAGTAATGTCATCGGATCAAAATATTCTAGCACAATGGGTCAGGATCTTTACTTTGTTTCTTTTATATCTGGTTGGCACAGAATTATAGAAATGAGTATATTGTCCAACTGTAGACTTTCTATATATCCCTCTTCTTAGTGTTCTGTCTTCTCTTCTTGTTACTCGGACATCTAGAAACGATATGCTATTTTTCTGTTCTTCCTCTAGTGTAGAAGCATTAGACGGATGAATGTTATTAAATATATTAAGTAAATTATCCTCTTCATGTTCTTTTTATTATAATATGAAAGTATCATCCATATAATGACTGTAAAATGTTAGATGACCGATTGTATCCTTATGCAACCCATTTTCCAGTTCTGCTCGTAGATGCCCCATAGTTACACCATACAATTGTCCATAATAATATTCATTGTCGAATCGGAAGTGAACATTCATCATGCATCTATGGATTATTTGTTTTATTGTTGATACGGGGATTATTATTATTTATTTATTTAAACACATATATATTGGTACAAAAGGGCACCAGATACATATGCGCCACACAAAATAATGAAAGTAGGAAGAGAAGGGATGAAAAGATAAGGCGGACTGAAATGTACAACCAGAAGAGCTCTCTCAGTTAGGAAAGTTATAGCCGCTCTTTATGAAGAAAGTAAAAGAAGGTTACAGCAGGTTCGCCACTGGCTTCTATTCTGAGCCATATCTGATAACGTCTCTAGCCACTGTGATGCACCACCTCTCGGACCCCAGACAGGGAGTCTTGAAGGACCAACAGAAGCTAGCCCTTTGTAGCTTTCTTTCATGCCACGACACCATGTCATACACTGACCTCCTCTTCGCTTTTTCCAAACAGTCCCAGAGTCGGCAAATAATGCGCGACGTGGAAGTCTCTGGGACGACATTCGTAAAACGTGTCCAAGCCACCGAAGTCGGTGTTTCAAGATGATGACACCAATTGAATTATCGTCTCTGCGCCCGAACACACGATGCCGAACCTCTGAATTACTAACATGGTGTTGCCACTGGATGTCAGCAATCCTTCGAAGACAACGATGATCGAACACCGAGAGTCGTCTAACATCCCCAACTCGGAGAGGTCAGGTTTCACAAGCATAGAGCAAAACTGCTCTCACCGACGCGTTGTAGATCCGATCTTTTACAGCCAGACTAACATCACGAAGGCGCCAAAGATGGCCCAGATTGGCATAAGCCGTTCTGGCTTTCATTATACGTGCATCAATCTCATCACTCACGCCACCACCAGCACTTATATAGCTACCTAGATACACGAACTTCTCAACTACTTCAATCTGCTCACCATCTAGGGTGAGTACAGGATGAGTATCCTGCCAGTCTTGTAGGAGTACTTTGCACTTGGAGGGTGCAAAGCACATGCCGTACCTGCGGACACTGATTGCCAACTGATTAAGTGCGGATTGCATGCCTTGGGCATTATCACAGAGTAAGACAATATCATCCGCATATTCGAGGTCGAGAAGTCTTTCTCCGGGAAACAGATCCACACCGCCATTACTTACATCCATCAGAGCTGTTTCCAGAATGTCATCGATGGCAAAGTTGAAGAGGAATGGTGAGATTGGAAAACCCTATCTAACCCTACTGCTTGAATGGTACAAGGGAGAAAGGTGGTTATATAACCTCACTCTACCTGAGGTGTTCGTATACAGGGCCTTTAAGATGTTAATGAACTTCTCAGTCACACCGTTCTTCAATAGACAATCCCAGAGAACAGTCCTGTCCAACGAATCGATGGCAGCCCCGATATCAAGAAACACTACGATTGTGGCCTGCAATATGTATGACGGTGTTTTAATATTTGGTGGAGGGTGAAGATGTGATCAATGCATCCTCGACCAGAACGAAAACCAGCCTGCTCCTCGCGAGTCAATCTTTCTCGGGTTTTGAACAATCTACGAAGAATGATAGAAGCCAATTGTTTGGACGCGATCGGAAGTAGACTTATCCCCCGATTGTTATTGCAGGAACAACGTGAACCCTTTTTAAAGATAGGGACGACTATCGACTCATTCCATGATGTTGGAACACTTTCTTGCTCCCAAACCTTTGCAAACAACACAGTCAATCCCTTAGTCAGAAAGTCACCAACATCTTTAAAAAGAGACAGAGGTAAGTCATCTGGGCCCGGTGATTTGTAATGTTTCAAGAGTTGGAGTTCCTTGTGGACTTCCGCCTCGTTTGGTGGATCAGTCTTCACCGGCCATAGGGGGCAGAACAAACTGGTTGATGTTGTAGGGGTAGCAGGCCAGTTGAACTGCCCTTCGAAAAATTCCGCCCGTCGTCCAAGACGTCGAGAGATGTTGGTGATTGGCATCCCATCATCCTCGTAGATTGTTTCACTCACACCAGACTTCTTGCTGCCAGTGGCTCGGATGAGTTGAAAGAGCTTCCGGCAGTTACCAGATGCAGCTGCTGCTTCCATCTCATTAGCACGCTCCGACCACCAGGCTTCTCGGTCCTTACGCAAGCTTTGCCCGATTTCACTACGTAACAGCCTTCGTTTGTGGTCAAACTCACGGTCACCCGGAGTAGACCGACGGGCTTCCATCAGTTGTAAGGAGCCAGAAAAAACCCAGTGCTTGTAAGCGGGACGTTTCGCGAAGCCGCAAGCGGCTTTACTCGTCATCTTCATGGCGTCGTGAAGAAGCAACCAATGCTCATCTATACTTTTCAGTGGGATGGTAGCTAGCCTAGAGGCTAGCTCCGCTCGATACTTACTTGCAACAGAAGTTGCAGCCAGTTTACTAACATCAATCCGTTGGTGGTGGTCAATCCTTCGGCCACTGAAAAGTAAGGTGAGATTGGCGCAGACCAGGGCATGATCAGACTCCAGATAGGTACTCCAAAAGGAGCGGCAGTCTTGTACACAACCACGCCAGCGGTAGCTGATCGCGATGTGATCAATCTGAGTCCAGGCTTGGGATGCAGAGGGAGGACGCCAGGTGGTACACCGGCGATGACTGTGCCGGAAGTTAGTGCTGGCCAGAAACAGGTTGTGGTCTGTGCACAGTTGCAGCAAACGGTCCCCGTTATCAGTCCTGCGACCAACAAGTCCCCATCGGCCACCTAAACGACTCTCTTCTGTGCCTAGAGGCCCGACCTGTGCATTCAAGTCTCCGGCTAGTTCTACAATATCTGTCGAACGCGCTTTCTGGAGAAGAACTGTTAACTGGTGGTAAAACTCATCCTTGATTGCATCCGGGCTGCAATCTGTCGGGGCATAGGCGGAGATGACGAAAAGACACCGTTTCTCACGCCGGTTTCTTCTCACTTTGATGGAACTTTCTAATCTAACAGCACATAACCGACTGTTAATGGTGATCCAATCGATTAGTGCTGCCTCAGCTCTAGCGCTTAGTGCAACACCAACGCCAGCAAGACCAGACGAAGATGCCACATAGTCCCCAGGTAAGCGCACGTGAAACAAGCTTTTCGAAGCGACAGATGTAGAGCGTATTTAGAGTACTTCACTAGAGTCTTGAATACGGGTCTCGGATAGACAGCAAACATCAACATTAAGACCTTCTAAAGACATAGCCAGCCCTATCTGTTGTCCAACCTGCATTAGTGTGCGAACGTTGAAGGAAGCCAGCTTGAACGGTGTACGTGTTTTCAGAAAGACTGCTTCAGTATTCGTAATTTGTGGAAGCATTCACTTTCAACCAGACAGTGACTGGAGATCGTTTAGATAGGACAGAGTTTCCACCATGGGTGAGCTACTGCATAAGTTGAAAAGGAAGGATACACAATTTGGGAATAAAGGGAGTGAAAAAGCGACGTAGTAAATAATAATAATAATGGTAATAATAATAATGTAAATTGTCTTTCTTCTATTAGGAATGAGAACAGTGTAGTTAGTGTAGTGCGTCATTTCATGTAATTTGTGTGTGGGCTGTGATACTGCCCGGGTGCCCAAACCGAAGCCGGTGGTTTTCTTAGGGGGCCACACCCCGAGCCTTTGACCTAAAGATCTGATCCACAAGGCAGTGGAGCATCGTGAGGAGATGCAGTTTCATGGTAGCCGGTGACCAACGGTTGGTTCTTACGCCATTTGTTCCTTCAGGATACGGGAGCCCATGTGCACCATTGGTTTGGAATCAGGGTTTTCCAACTCCCCTAGGTGGATCCTTCATATCCACCAACCCGGTTAAAGCCCCGGACATTCGCTTTTCGTCCTCTCACTTTCTTAAGCAACACCCCCGCCACGAAAAGGCAGTGAGTAGGACTTCCCTGGCAGAGGCTATATATTCGCGTGGCCATGTGAGAGCATTTCGAGAGGGAGAGAGGACTCTCCCCACTCGGCCGTATCAGGGCATTTGGGAGCTTAAGGTTTCTATAAGGCTATATGTTAGTTCATTGAAAATAAAATCAACAGTTTCAAATAAGGGAATATCAGTGAATAAGGATGATAAATTCAGTGATACCCTAAAGTTATTTTTGACCGACAGATTTTTTTATATTAACAAATTTAAAATTTTTTGACACTATGCTTAACAACATCTTTGTGTGATGGTTTGAGAATTTGCAGTAATTATTTTGCTACAGTATGATAGACGGAATTATTCATACTTAAAACAGACAGACCGTATAGCATTGGTGTTATCGTTCATGTAGTTTTCAGTATTTTGAACACTTTCCGAAGTAAAACCTTGTTGTTTAATTTCTTTCAATGAATTTATAAGTTGTTCTTCAATCCTGTCTGCCCTATCAGTTTCTGAAATTTACTCTTATAACTTAAAAGGGCCTTTATTCTGTTTAAGTAACTGTTTTTATCCATGAGTACTACACCACAACCTTTTTCTGGTTTCGTGAGTTTTTAGTTTTCTTAGAGCTCACTTGTGTTTTTTCGTCAAAATCCCTTTTGAATTATGCCCATTATTTAGATATCTAAGGCACCAATCCAGTGGTGTTGATTTAAATCTTTCGATATCGTCTTTTGGTGAAGTTACTCGTTCTGCCGTTTGGCCGTAAAGGTTTTCAAACTGAATTTAAACATTCATTTTATTAATCGTTTTCGCAAAGCTTAGGGTCTAGTGATAACGCTTTTAACTCAGTCTTACTAAGCTTAACACTGGAAAAATTGTGCATATATTGACCTGGTTTAGATAGAAATTTCATTTCTGGAATCTATTTGTCTAAATGTTTGTTTAGTTTCATACGTTTCTTTTTTTTCTTGTATCAACCATCAGCTTAGCGTAGTCCGAAAATTGTTCTTTTAATTTATCAGGAAGCTCTCCCATAGCATAAGCTCAGTGACATTTTTTTAATGTCTCAGTAATTTATTAATTTAGAGAATCGATTTAATTTAATGCATAACATTTGAGAGTCTTTCTATCTAGTCAAACTCTAGAGCGATGTAAAGATTCCCAACATACTTTTGGTTACAAGTTGGTTTTCACTCGATAAAATCGACATTTGCCTTCGCTTCACTGAGTCTTATATATATTAGTGTAGAGTCATGGTTAAAAACTCATTGAAAAGAAATTTCTTCGCTCGAGTCTCTTTTTTACCAAATGTTAAAACGAGAATTTTCACTATATTGAAATGTTCTGAGCAAACGTTTGTGTTAAAAGTTCTCCACGAATATCTGAAGTACAGCCCAACAGTGAAATAATACTCACCGAGTAGTTACGTTACGTAGGAATTAGTTGTCAAATTCCACAGTAGTTGTCCATAACTTTTTTTTATTTACTTATCGTGATTTAAATGATTCAACGATTGAGTTTTGATCAATTGTTCACAATAGTTAAGACTATGAAGTTCATTTAATTTTTTGTACTCATCATTCACCTACACATTTTATCACCTGATTGCTCAAATGAAAGTGAATTAGAGTTTGAACCATCAACCTAGTGGTTGGAAGTTGAATGATTTCACTACCATGTCACCATTTTATTTACAAAATCTGACTATCTACTTATGTTGTTACTATCTCTCACAAAATAAAAACGCAAGGGTACTAATGTATAAGGAAAATAAAATAACTATGAACGTTAATCCTAATGAAGTATTTTACCTTGTTATTCATTCCACTTAACTAACAAATTACATTACCATATATCATCCTTAACTAAAGGTAGTATTCATCGTGTATATAACTATAACCAATCATTGACATTTTAATTAATTTCTGTAAGTAACACCTATCTGTATATATCACTGTAGCAATATATGAAACAATATTCTCTTAGACCGCAAATACTCAAACCATATAAGAGTAAGTGATGCTGTAGTCTAGTGGATGAATGTCTTTAGCCTACACCACTGTGACACATCACTGTGGCTAAATGATATTCCAACTGTATTCGTTATGATATACCTCTTCATTATTGTCAATATCAGAGTACATTGTCTTACATTTTTGTTTACAGGTATCAGATACACTTTTAGGTGTTGCACCATGTCCTTATCGGAATTCATTACAAAGTAAACAAATGAATAGTCAATCATCTATTGAATTTGAAAAAAATCATTCAAATTTATTTGTCAAACTTACTAATGTCACTGGTATTGGTCCAGTTAATCGTCATAATGTATGGTCCATATCCGATTTTATTACATGTATGATTGCTCATAACATTACCCTTCCTGATTGGTGTACAGATGAATTATTGGCAGAATTACATGAAGTCAATAGATACTATTGGGTGGTAAGCATTTTTCCCCACAATTAAATGTATGTGATGAGATTATTTGTTTATGTATTGTCGAATATACAGTTATTTATTAATTTTATTGAGAGTGCAAACAAACTACGGGACATACTTTCACTCAAAATACACAACAAATATTTCCCAACTATAAACTCTGGATAGGTATTTAATCAAGGTAACTCATTCATTTTCTGTCTATACATTTATTGTTTAGACGACCAGAGAGCATTATGACTCTATATCAGCTTCTATTTTGAACATGTTCTTATAACATTCCTAGTCACTGGATTATACGCAGGTGGCCTTGATACATTAACGTAAGTTAATTTTCCATAATCTTACGTCATGAACCGATCATCTTTTCTAATTTCCGGTTTAAGACATTACTGGACAATCTCTACAAAATTAACTACATATTAAGAAATCCAAGTTAACCAATATTGGGCAGAGATAGTGACTAACAATCGAATCCAGAACGTGCGTTTCGTTTTACCTGGGACTCGTCAACTGGATTTATCTGTATCTCAGAATTGATACTTTCTCCTAGATTCGAACCCACTACTTTTCGCTTCAAAGGCCAACGCGTTATCTGTTTAGCTAGTAAATCCAGATAGTCATCTCAATGTAACGAATTACTTTAGAAGTTTCACTAAACAAAAGTTTGGTAATTTACCTGAACAAAAATTGTGATGTAATTGTTAATGAGCTATTATCATATTAAATTCTTGAAGTTATTAAAATTGACTTTTACGGATTCAAGCTTTTAATGTATTCAACTGTTACCTGTTTAGCTCAATATATAAATTTCTCATATAGTTTCAGTGAAGTAATGGTCTACTAGTTAACGAACTCGATTTTCAACCACTGGACTGCTAGTTTAAAATTTTTCACTTTAGTATTAGTGACATGTTAGTGTAACTAGTGTCCATAAAAGTTAGTTTACTCATCAATCAGTCCATGAACCTTCCGTTTATTAGTGAATTATTTTTATCTCGATCTCATCGTCTGAGTTACACTTAGGTATGGTTAAATAACTAATAACTAATTTAAAAGTCAAAAGTTAATGGGTTATGAAACTTGACCGCTTGAAATAGTTAAGGAATATGATTAAAACATTTGATAGTTGCAGTAATCACATTTTCTTCCAATATATTTTGACATAAGTATCAAAGAGAAAGCTGTAATTTGTGCCAAGTACAGAGTAGTGTACTCGATTTTTAGTCACTCGTGTTGCATGAAGACTAGGAATAATACCAAACTGTTTAAACGGTAGTAGGTGGGGCAGGATTCGGACAAGCAACCTAGCGGTTGAAAGTCTTATTCTCTAACTACTAAATCGCTGATTCTAAAAACTTGAGGATCGTTTTTTTAGTGTTTGCAAAATTTGGGAGCAGCTTTTTACAGGATTTCAGTTGTATAGTCTTTAAATAGTTCCAACTTAGTAATTTCCTAGAAATGACGAACAGATCGAAGATTGATACTGCAAAATTTATCGGAATTCATATCAAGGTGTACGAAACTTTGTATATTGACTCAAGTCAATATTATACATTATTTTTGTTTAACTGTAGAATACATTTGTCTGATTTACTTTGTAATATACAATGTCTCAATGTTTGTGTATATCATTAAAACATCTCCCATTTAACCTTATAAAATAGTAAATACTAATAAATTAATTGATCATTTGTGATTGGGCTACGTTTGCTAGCTTTCGTTCGCTCGTTTCCATTATTAAATAGTGTAATCATTTGGAAAAAAAAACTGAAAATCATTCATAAAGGTATATTTTTCTGCGTAAATTTTAAAATATTCAAATTTCTGCTACACAATAAAGTAATGTTGTCCTGGTGATAATATCAAATACACATGTAAATATCTATTTTTTTCTTCGTCAGAAAAAATATTCTTCTTCTTCTGATATTATTCGACTGGAAATTGGTGTCTTCTTAAACACATTTGTTAAACATATACATTCCATCATACATGGGGAACAGTTGAATTTAAGTAATGAATATACATTATCCACCGAACATATAATGATTTATTCAGCTCATGATACTGACGTAACTTATATTTTAGCCGGTTTTGGTGTTTATAATAATCAAACAATTAATTATGCATCTAGTGTTATTCTAGAATTACATGGTCCAGATAAATCTGGCAAAGAAAGTGATTATCGTATAAAATTGTTGTATAAAAAAGGTTGGACCGATGAAGTTGGTGAATATTTAACCTTACCAGCTTGTAAAGGTCAACCTGGTTACAATGGTTGTCCTGTGAATCTTGTATTGGAACAAATTAAACCATTATTATTGAGTACGGATAGTTTTTATAAAGAATGTTCAATAGATCAACCGGATAGTGTAAATGATCGATTACATCCAATTGTATTTATCTTTGTTGGTGCATCAATCTCCTCTGTAATAATGCTTCTAGTCTTCTGGTATTATTCACTGCGTTTACGTCGTTATAGCAGTTTAGACGTTACAGAACAACAAACTATATAATTGGTAAATAAAGAAATGAGAATAAAAAAGAAGATATTTAGTAACATTATTGTTAGCATCATCGTCATCATTATTTAAATCGTTATCATCATCACAACGTGTTTTTTTACTCCTTCCTTCCACTTGTTGCCCTGCTATGATTTTCTATTTTTTTATACAACAGTGTTGTTTAGCTCTTCTTGTTCATTTTTTATGATCATTTAGAATGTTGATTGTAGTCTTCTGCTCAAATATATACATTATTGTAGACTTATTATTTTATATTTTGTATTTCTTATGTTATATAATTAATAAAATAATGCACACTCAGTGAACTGAACTGTACTGAAATTATTGTGTTGTTTGTTATACTTGTTTAATGCTTTGGTAGAGGTTATTTAACTATCGGTATCCCAGATTTTATGATATGCCAATAGTATTTTGTTAAGAGACATAGAAGAAATATTAGGACACAAAGAACGAGTTTGGCTATAACCAAAACGAATTGCAGTGTTATCGAAAGTGCTCGGATGGTTAAAAATTCTCGATTACCCTTACAGCTGAAGGATATTCCTTCTTGAAGAATTTGAAAGTGAAACGGGATGACTAGATTTAATGTAACTGGGAGGTTCACCGCAAAGGTTACGAATAAAATGCCTGGTGCCAATCACGCAATATTTTTTGATTATGAGACCACACAGTTTCATTGACTTATTCCGTAGCGGTGGCGTACATACCTAGCCACCGTCTACTTTGAGACGCAAACTCAGCAAGTATAGGAATGATTTTAAATAAAACTAGGAAGGACGAAATAAAGACACATTATCTGTCCACCAGGTCACATACTTCTGGTATTAATAATTTTATCAGGTTTATATTTCCAGACTGGAATGCGAAAGCTGGTCGTTTCACTTATTGCTATTGTTAGTCTCAATGTTATTATTTCACATAGTATCACATGGTACTCAATTTATGTCTGACAAATGGAACTCTTGGTATTAGGCCATAGTATTTTACATCGTCGATACAAAACAAGCTTTTCGATAATATTCCAACTTGGTGGTTCAAAGACAAAATTTTATCTATGACATCTAAGTATTAATCAGTTACTCTTCTAAGTAGACCTATCCAATATGAACAAACAGATTATTAAATTGACAAGCAAAGGATTGCACTGAACAGCACATATATCTTCAGAAATATCAGAAGACTAAAATGGTCTGTTTTCAAAATAATATACAATAGACGTCCAGCTTTCTGTTTTATGCAACGAAAAAAGGTTACAGTAGAAAAACAGTTTACTGTGATCCGTTCAACAACTCACAAAAGTGTTAAAGGGAGTATTCAGATTGTGCCACAGGATTAATAATTATCTGAAGTAAATAAATTTCTGTTTCATCCGTCAACAGACTTAAGTATTAATATCTGATTAAACCACTTGTCATACTACATCTTACAGATTTCTACTAGCTACCTCATTGCTTCTTTTTTAGAATTATGAAAATGTCCCTAAAATAGGGAATTATTGATTGTGTCGATGAAAACAATTATTATTGAACATCCTGATTTAGATATTATTCAGTAACTAATATAACTTGAATAGCGCAATAAGATCTACAGGAAAGGAAGGGAACCAATAGTTGGACCTTTAAGTTATGGATAAGTTTAAATTTCAAAACAAAATTTTAGTTACAAAACTGTTGTATAACGACTGGGAAATTTTCAAACTTGAGCAAAATAGTTTGCCGAAAAATGTTTATTTTGTAAAGGTCTAATATGATATTAGTTCGTTAGAGATTTCGGAAATTTGTTAGCCTTATTTGAATTGTTGATTGCACAGTAGTTATACAGTATCGAACATATAGTGTCTAGTACTATGTCAAGCTGACAATTATCCGTGAATTGTAAATAATGTGCGCAAATATCAAATGATTGAATAAACTTCCACTAGGGTCAATAATAATTTTCGTAGTGAACACAGTTATTTTACGATGAAATAGTAATATAAATTCACTTGGTATTGTTTGCTTGAGTCTTCCCATTAATGTTTAGGACTGCAATTGATCAGTCTCTTAGTGGCATATGTGCATCTTGTGCGGATCGCCTTGATTCACAAGCATTATAGGCAATGATGGATAGTGGATAGCAGTGGAATCCAGGGTGCGCGTTTCATCCTATTTGAGACAAAAACGTCACCCGATTGCACAAGCAAGTAGCCATCAGGACTCAACAGGTGAGTGAATAACGTGATGGCTTTTCAGGCGAACGGTACTGGGTTCGAGTCCTGGATTGAATATCAACTTTGAGATGCAGGTACATTCAACTGAATATGACGAGATGCGATGCACTTTTAAGGTACTGTACATGTTTAAGCTTTTCATTTTTCTTCACATATGGTTTCATCTAAAATGTCACACAAATAATAAGTATAACTCATATTTAGTTCTATGGGATTTTGCTTGTTTTTTTAAAGGAAATACTACCAAGTGTTGAATTAATACAAAAGATATAACATTGATGATTTATTTATTAAATTAAGTATTTCATAAACAATATCGGCATTTTTTGGCAAGTCTTGCCTTTACCATTAACAAAGCGACAAAACATAAGTGATTCATTTCTAGGATACCCGAAGATTTATTAAGGGGTACTGATATATGGAGCTATGCAGATGAAACCTCCAGCAAATATTCTTGTTTTCTCAAAGAAGCTGAAAATCACTGATTATTGCGTTTAAAGACAGTATGTTAGCTTAAAATGAAATTACTGTTGACAGAACATTTAAGTGAGTTTAACTTTTTGAGGGAAAAATTATGAAGAAGAAATTACCGATAAATATACAAGACCTTATTGAAATACATTTTTAATTAAAAATAACTGGACACTAAATTCACTCGTCAAATGATTGATTACTGGTAAATGAAAGGTTAACAAGAAATGACTGAAATAATGGACAATTGTATAAAATGTAGGAGGACTTGAAAATTACATTTCCAAATTCAAGGTTTTTTCATTTCGAAACGGGTGTTTATTACAAATGAAAGCATGAAAACATGTTGATTATACGATGTATAGTTTTTCTGTCACATACTTTAACAAAGATCTTTGAAAATATTCATTTTCACATTAAGACTGAAAGTAAACTTGTTCAGTATTGTAATCAAATTAGTTTCTTTAGAAATATATGTTATATCCCCCGGTGAATTACGAATGGTAACTTTTAGGTCTATTTATGGATCAATGTAATATGCCTATTTCCTATTGTACAATTATTACGTAACTGAACTATTCATATTCGTATTTCTCTTATCATTAGCTTTATTTTGACCTTGACTTATTATCATACGATTCTTGAGTTATAATCAGTTTATTGATTACTTTGGTTTGTATAAAAACCCAGTGTGTTTGTAAATAATGATTCATATTGCCGAGGCTGTTATTTGTGTTCTGGACTTAACTGTCTGGGCTAGGCAGAAAGCAGGGCCGATACGCACTCAAGACTGCTCATACGATTTCAAGTATCATTTGCGTCCGATCAATAAATTCACTCCTCTCTAATTGCACGTTCATATATATTACGAGCGCATACGTTATAACAATATAGAATTTATTTTTATATTAAATTCATTAAATTCAGTTCTGTAAGATCAGTTGTGTTATAATTTACCCAGCTATAACGTTATCGATGTCGTATATAATCCAATAAGCCTAACATGTTCAAATGAAAACAATGTATTTTCGAATTTCGAAATCGTAAACCTCAGTTTTTCATCAAGTGTTCATCAGTCATTCAGTACAATGCACAATGTATAACACTGACTAGTCATTACAATTAGCTAATACTGCTAAGAAAACAAAGCAAATATATAAATCAGTGATGAGTTATATTTCTCAACTAAGACAGCTTATTTATCGATTTTCCAAATTACATACTCACATTAAATTATTGATGAGTTAATGTCAACTAATGCTTGCTCAACTCCGCTCTTTTAAGGCTACTGCCGATCCCAAGACAACAAAAAGAAGAATGGTTAGGCGTAGGGTCGACAACCCTATCATGTAGAAAACAACCTTGCTAAAAAACACTAACCAGAATAAATAAATTAAACCACTAAAACTCTACCGTCCGAGTTGAAAAATCATCATTCAGAAGGATTATGACGCCTCATGCTGAAAGCCGAGATTTTTCGGAAGACATGAAACCGACACCTCTTTAAAACAACCAGAGGAACAATTAACATAGGTACATGTAATACCTGGACAATGTGGAAAACCGCTACAACTGATCAAATAGCTACAGAAATGAGAAGATACAACCTAGTGGTGCTCGGAATCAGTGAAACCCATCGCCACCAAGCTGAACAGAAGGGATCAGATTCAGGAGAGTTGCTGCTGTACTCCGGACACCAAGAGGAACATGCTCCACATACTCAGGCAGTTGCTCTGATGCTGTCCAGAGAAGCACGTAGAGCACTCATAAGATAGGAATCTCATGCATCCAGAATCATCAAAGCATCCTTTAAACAAAGAAGGAGGGAATCACGGTGAATGTTATCCAGTACCACGCACCCACCAATGATAGCAATGAACACGATAAAGACCAGACTGCAATCGATCATAGAGAAGTGCCCATTAAGGAACTGACTATCCTGATGGGAGATCTAAAGACTGAAGTTAGGATGGACAACACTGGATATGAAGATGTAATGGGACGACAAGAACTGACTGGGGGAAGGAATGAGAATAGTGACAGATTCGCAAATCCATGTGCATTCAACAAATTGTTTATAGGCAACACAATATTCCCACACAAACGCATACACAAATCTACACGGATCTCGCCGGATCATACTACACAGAACCAGATAGACCATATTTGCATCATTGAAAAGTCCAGAAGGTCAATGCGAGATGTGAGAAGCATGAGAGGAGCTGACATAGCTTCAGATCATCACTAGTTGGTTGTGGCCACGATGAAACTGAAGCTAAACAAGCAACGGACAACTGGACAAACAGCATTA